ACGCATCTTACCCTGCGAACTGGGCTGCTATTGACTACTTATTTTCAGAGTAGTAAAAGTTAGCACACTGGCAATCCCTGCAAGAGCACATGAAATCGTTTTACGACGCTGCACGCAACACGCGCGGTAATTAGCGGTGTAAACTGTTGCGTGTAGGCAATAACAGCTTTATGGTTACAAGTCACGCGTTATTGGCGCCTTTAACTGGAGCTTCTGAGTGACGAAAGCGTGACGTTCTCTAGGGACCTGGCTACCAAATGCGCGTGTCCTCAACGGTGTTTCACATGTAGCATGGGTCCCTATGTAACAAGATCCATGTATGTCATGGCGATGCACATGACCCGGTTGGTTTGACAGCGACATAGCACAGGACGGTGAGGGGGATTGGATTGCAATAGAGGCTACTTTCATAAAATTGATCAAATTTCACTTCGCGATTGTAAGTCATAGGCAGATGCGGTTCCATAACGGAAATGTACCTACAGCTTAATACATCAGTAAAGGAGAGTAGAAGAATCCATCAACACCATCCTGAATATGGCCCTGCTATTTACAGTCGATTATGAGTTTCGGACGAGGGTGTGCAGTGTGGCATGGCGTGTCTCCAAACAATGCACTCTACGGAAGGACATCCACAAGAAAAAGGACCCTGGAATCAAACGGGAGGGGGTCTGTAACAAAACCTACGCGTTGCGTTAAAGCCTGGTATAGGTTTTATAAATAGGGCACAGCATCTTTGGAAGAATCCCATCAGGGTGGATCGTAGTTGCTGTTGAGAAAATTTTCTGAGCAGGGAGAAAATTTCTTCCTGTCCTTGAGTTTTCTCGATTTAGCCCTCCATGTGTACCACTCCGTCCTCGCTCCTCGACGGCAGCTGTTTTTTTTCTATTCGAGAGAAACTAGGAAAATTTTTGCAAAACTGGGAGAAGTTGGGAAACGGCAGTGACACGATAAATCTCTAAGACGAAGACTATTATGCCTGGCAGGACGGGATTCCGCGCCCTGAGCAGGCGCTGCGTAGCGCCTTTTCCAAGGAGGGTACCCTATAAGGCCCTATCAAGCTGCAACATACCGACCCGGACGCCCACCGCGCCCGCCCGCCCACAAATGGACGACCGTACCTGATGCTCGTATTGCTTCATTTGCTGAAGTAAAATATGAAGCGAAGAACTGGTATGAAGCGGCCGCGGTGCTGCATGGATATGAGTACATACGTGCAGCCGTATCTACCGTAGCGGTTATTGGCAAGATGCCTACGGGAAACTCGTCCGAAATTGCTTTTTGAGTCATTGAGAACGAAGGCTTTTCTTCGCAGGTTTTTGACCGTTTCACTTCGTTTTTCGCCATTTTCCCCACTATATAGCACCCTGCTAGCATTTTAGACCGAGTACCAAATTATAATGCTATATGCCCTTAAAGGCAGTTGGCACGATAAATCGCTA